AAACATAAACCATGTGAATGGATTGCATCTGATAAGAATGCTCAAATTGGTTTCTATTTGTATGTCGATGTTGTAAATATAATTTGTATATCGATGCTTATTCTTTATTTTGTTACACTCCTATTTTTAACATCATCCAATTAACGTGCAACTCACGTTTGCCCCACTAGTCTTCGATAAAAACCTAGTGCCCGTCTGTTTTAGATTATTTTTTCAAGAAAATCAATTGTTTGCCCCTTTTTTTCCACAAAATGGGGCCCACTATCACACAATTTCTTCAAATATGACAGCTGCAACGATCAAAATTATGGTTTCTAATGGAAACAAACAAGCCTCTAATATTTTTATTAACCTCTGTATTCAATCAGTGGTTTATGATTTTCCATCAGTCATTTGGTCGGGTATATACCTAATTAACCTGCAGCCTTATGATCCAAACAGGCTCCATAAAAATATTAGAAAATATTGAAAAATTCAAGATCATAAATATTAATAAATTAAAATATAGTTTAAACTTCGCTGAAACATGATATTCTTTTAGTTTCTTAAATAGAAAATATTATTTTAGTACTTATATAATGAATTTTCTTATTATAAAAGTAACATAGTGATCAGATCCCTATGACTTGTTGCACTCCCTCCATCCAGTAATGCAAGCTGAGCATCGACTGTCACAAGCCTGTAAATGAAGTGAAGCGCATTTAGAAGAAAGTTCATCAATGACCACTAAACACTATAAGAGCACGATTGGTACGTAGTACTCGACATGACCACATAGATTGTACACATTTCAAGATATCAAAGACCCAAACATGAGCTAACAAACAAAGATGATATGTTTTCCATCAAATATTCTATAATAGATAGTACACGTTTCAAGATATCAAGACCCTCGACAAAAATAGTATGAGTTTAAACTGTTGGTGATAACCAGCAATTCAATTCTTTCATGTCATAATTAGTGACTCAAGAACCCAGGTATAGGTTGTTATCAAGAAAATGATTCTAACAAAATCGGATGAATTTATTCTTATAAGCACAATTAAAGAAACTGATTGGAAAAAATCTCACTCCACGACTTCACATTTAGCAGAAAAGAATTT